TGCCATGATGACACCATAAAACTAGTGGAAACCTTCCTTGACTTTAAATGTAGTTATTTGAAAAGTCTTCCTGAAAAATACAAAGTAATTACCCCTAAATCAGTAGAGAGCCAACTAAAAGAATTAGGGTGAGTATTCAGACATTGCATTGCATTGCTACTGTGATCAGATAGTGTTAAGAACTGCTTATATGTTTTGCATTAAATATTTTCTTTGGTTTATCAGCATTTATTCAAACCATGCACAAAAAGACWTACAAACCTTACAGTCCTGCTTACTTATTGATGAAAAAGAACAGACACTGAAAAGCATGGAAGATTACAAGAAAGCCCTGAATCACATATTAAAAATTGCTTGAGTACTTGAGAAAGTACCTAGTACCAACTCCTGGTGACTGGCCAACATGGCTCTATATCAAGAAGCTTATAGCACAGGCTAAAAGCGACGACACAATAGTTACCTCATTAATACCTGAACAAGGCCCATTTCATGTTAGCCTTAATCTACAAGAACAAATTGTTATACAGTACCAGTTTCTATTTGATAAATTTCATCGCCATTTGTTTTCAAAACCACTGCCACAAAACCCAAAGCTACATCAAAGCTCAATGCTAATTAGTTCACTTCTGCTTGGATGGCTTATGGTGCGAGACAAAATTATTTCAAAGGTTTCCAACTGTAAAGATCCTCAGTATGTACTTGTGTTMTTTGTTCTAGAAGAAGTAGTACCTCTGGGTTTTTTTCAATACTTTTGCATCTTCAGAGGTGGAAACTTAGAGAAATACTTAACAGTCATGGTAAGRATTGCTATGATATTCATCAYTTGGAAAAGAAGGCACTACAACAAGTCAACTCTGTCAATGCTCAGTGACATTGAACATCAGAGAAAAAATCTCCATAATTATTTTCAACAAAAAAAAACTGGCTGTCACTTTTCACAGAAAAGAAAGTAGAGGTGTTTCACTCTGAGCTTCRAAGTAAAATCACACCTTGGGCATCAGCAGAATTTATCCAGAATATAGCAAAATGTATCAATTCTAAGAATTTTTGTAAAACTTTGTAAAAAGTAACACTTCAAGAGAAAATTCTAATAGAGACTGGACAATGATTGCTGGGATGAGTGCTGAATATTTGATCAACCTATTTAAATCTGTTGCACAGAATATTGGAAAATCTTATAAGGTGATAAAATTATTTATTTTTATGCCAATAATGTCAATATTTGAGCTATTGCATAAAAATACTAGAGAAAAACATATATATTTCTATACAA